GTTTGTTGGACTGACAGCGAAGCAAGCAAAAATTAGACAGTACTGCGATGACATTACAATTTAAATTCAACGTTTTAGCTTTTTCATATTCCTTTACATGTCACTACGTTTAAATAGGTTGACTTGGGACATTTTTTCCGTGGTTTTTGTATTAGACCCGTCGTCCATTTATTTGTAAGTCAATGACTACCTCCTAACAAAAGCGGTACTTGGCCAATCATGGACACTTCGATTCTTTTTGGTTTTTTGTTTAATAGCGTTTATTTGGCTGCCGTTTGAGTTTAAATATTGATTACGTTCATTATTTTAATTTACTCATAAAAAAGTATTGTATGCAATCACTACGTAATTACATACATTACATACTTAGGCACACTGTGGTCGAATGTAAGAATCTTCATTTTGCAACGATTGCGTAAAATACTATGAATAATAATAATAATAAAATTTTATTTATTGAGACAACTGAGATCCAATCAAATGTTAGTAGGTACAGACTTAAAACTATATTAGTACTTATATTTTACCAGGGATTGTGTATTATGTATTAAGTGCCGCATAATTGGGCACTCATTCCTGTCAGCAACTGTCTTCAGGAGGCTATTGGGGCTGTCACGTATTCTCTTTAGTAGCGACGCCGACTTTTTACGTACAACAGCCGTAAAACTATCTACGCGCGCGTCAGTGAACATGGCTGAGGCGCTGCAGAAACGTGACAGGGAAAATATTAAGTGTGAGGGAAGATTGTTAAATAATGTTGGAATTAAATAGTCCTTAGTTCTTTTACCATACACGTTATTTCCTCTTTTAAAAAAAACCCGAATGCAAGCTATTCGGTTAAACTCTGCTAAATTTATACAGATCACAACTCTATTCCTTGTGTTATGTTAATTTGCCTTCTATATTTTTTTAAATAAAACGAACAACTTTTCGAATTTTTGATTGCAAAATCTTGCCAGTTTTAGTTTGCAATTGATTGCGCTGGGAAAGAACGAGTTTCGTAAGGTCATGTGTGTTTACATCTAATTAGTATCAACATTCGTCTTATTTTATCGTCCTCTTTGTACAAGGAATTTTAATTCCAGTTTCCCACTGCTGAGTTAGCCAAATAAATAAATAAATTTTTCATTACATTTTTTAATAATACAAGCATTGAGTATATAACCAGAAATAGAGACGAAATAGGCCATCCATCCCTGGCAACTTATCAGGCAAATGGGCCTTGTGTCACTTTTAAATGTCAACTCTCGTTTGCGCTGAAATCACAAATTAGAAAACTGAAATAGTACAGCGCCAACAACTGACCTGTGTGTACGTCCTCGTATATTCCAAAAATATTCTGTATTGAATGTAATTAATAAAGATAATACCTCTAACAATGGGGCTGTTCCATTCGGTGGTGTGGGAAAAAAAACAAACGGAATCACATTTCAACGGTAATCAAATGTTAAATATGTAATTTTGCAATTTTCGACCACTATAGCAAAGCTCAAGTTAAACTGGTCGATTTGAAGTGAAACACTTGACGACACCCGTCAATTGTTTCGAATTCGGGCTGGCCAATCGGAGCGCAGTTGTCACCGTCATGATTTGGGAGAATAGTTTTCAAACAAATTAAATGACATTTTGTCTCTATGTCTGGTGAGATACTTGAAGATAGCAAGTGACGGGACGAACAATTCATGCGCCTGATGTAAAGCGACACGCCTGTTTATGGCTATGCAGTGCCACTCAAGAGTGACTGACATCTGTCATAGCAAACTATCACACGATGTAGAGGGAGTGAGATGGCCCCTCTGCCCCGAGCACTTAAGTATCTAAATCAGTTGTTTAACTTTGACTCTTCGTTGGACGTTTTTGCATGCTCAGAATCAAAATGCATGTTTTCCGCAGGACGCTATACTGGAATTCTTGACTGGAGACAGCAGTATTAAGTAATAGGTATTGTGCTAGTTTAAAATGTAATAACAAATGGATTTTATCCATTTTTTCTGTAATAATTTATTGTTTATGGTATTGTATTGTATTTATAATTTTATCAATGAAAATTTAATATTTTGTTCATTTTCGTAATTTACTTAATACTGTTTATTCATTTAGCTTTAAGTCTTACTATTGCGTTTGGGTCGACTGTAAGCAGTATTTAATAAATAAAATCATCATCATTATCTTAGCCCGTTAACATTCACTGCTGGGTATAGGCCTCCTCTTTTGCACGCCAGCTCAATCGGTCCTGTGCGAATCTCATCCGTAATCTTCCGGCCACCCCGGCGATATCGTCCGACCATCTAGCAGGTGGTCTGCCTCGAGGACGTCAATAAAATAAATAAATAAATAAATAAATATAAATATTGAACTTTCAACGTTATGCCAACAGGGTAAAGTTTAAATTACATTAACTCGTTATAGAGTCGCTGATTTTTCTTTACTAGTTAAATTTTTATTGAATTGATATTCAACTATTTTTTTTTAAATTACTCCACTAGTTTGTTATAATTATTAATACAAAGATCGAACACTCAGAAAAAAATCCTTCGATCGGGTCGGATTCGAACCGACGTCTTCTTGCATACCGTGCCAGACGCTATACCAACTAAGCCACGGAACGAACCAACGGACCTCACGAATTCTTCTATGTGCTTGCGTCGTGTCTTTGTACTTGGTCTTTCAACGACTTTACTAGTTACTAGAAATAAATTGATTGTCCGAATTTACTAAGCCAAATAAGATTTGATGTCATTTGGTAGTAAATAAGTCATAATGTAATGTAAAAAATTGAAAAAAAAAACAATCATACGTGATTTACATCCAAAAACAACAGTTTCATATTCATGTGTAACAATCATAACAGCCTAAATACTCGATAAATAAATTTTCCCTTCAATACCTATTACTCATGTAAGAAATCATGTTGTGCGACTCGCCATTGCTGCCTCGTCATTTTTTCATGAAAAATGTATCTATTGATAACGAATTTCATAACCCATGTAATAGATTGTAATGTATACAGATAACATTGAAATGTTTAGCACATTTATCATTCACTGTTGAACAACACTGTATTAAAGAAACCAACACCATCCTTCTTGGGAGTTGGGTAATTAGATCTGCTTTCTACAATATTGTTATTTTATGTAGAGGTATAATTTTCACAATAATATTCAAGGATATATCGAGTTCTTAGGTTTTTGTGCCTAACTAAGTAATTAATTATGTATCGAGTTTTTAGGTTTTGGCGATTGTCACAAATAGGAAATGAAACTATTTTACCGGATTTCAATCGCGTATATGTGTTTTATTAAACAAACCGACGTTTCGGGCCCTTTACAGGTCCCATGATCACGGTTGACATCGGTTTCATTTCCTAATTAATTATGTATTCAAAGTAAAGCGTAACGCGTGCCTGAAGTATGTCGCCGCGTGCGCAGAATTACCACTTAAGTATGTATGTATGGTGAGACCGTACAATTAAGCACCCGAAATTCGAAAAGAATTTTAGTAATTATATCAGAGCTTTAAATCGCAAATATCTGTGGGGTACTGTCACCGCGCCCTTCTCCCTGAAACATATAAACGGACAAGCCTCATGTGCCTGTAATTTCGCCAGCACTCTTATTCTTCTAAACCGGAACGCAGTAATGCTCACATTACTGCTTGGCGGCAGAAATAGGTAAGGTGACACTTCTCACTGTACTTTCATGGATTAACTCTTTCACAAGAAGCTCTGCTACTAAAACCTAACAGAAAATGCCATTTTATCATTTTCTATTACTTCAACTATACAAATTATTACTGAAATAATCATTGACTTACAATTATACGGACGTCGGGTCCGCGCTAAAAAGTGTCCGAACTTATAGGGCGTTAAAATCGTATACAGAGCGTCATTCACGCTTTAGTCTTCGTTTGTTCGATTGACAGTGAAGCAAGCAAAATTAGACAGTACTGCGATGACATTACAATTTAAATTCAACCTTTTAGCTTTTTCATATTCCTTTACATGTCACTACGTTTAAATAGGTTGACTTGGGACATTTTTTTTCGTGGTTTTTGTATTAGACCCGTCGTCCATTTATTTGTAAGTCAATGGAAATAATTATAAGTTTTTTATGAAAAAATCGACCTCAGAAGTTTAAAGTATTTGCCAAGTTTTGTTTAATATCGGTTATCGGAAAATGAGTGAAATCCAGAAACAGGAATCATCTCCTAATTTGCCACCTTTAGAGGTGGAATATTTTTATTCAAATTTCAATGGCATCACTACTAAGATACCCCCTTTCTAACAAAAAAAAAAGAATCGTCGAATTCTGTTCACAAATGTGTAATCGATTCGTAAATAAATAACAGTTATTTTTTAATTTTTGTTACGCGGTGTGAAATGATGAATTTCGCAATAGATATTTTGAAAACAAAGAGAGTTACAGATTCAGCCGTTGGAATAGTGAAGAGTGCTGGAGGGAGATCGAGGACCGAAAGCTATATGGACGGATGATATAGGCAAAGTAACCGGAAAAAAACTAGATATAAATAGCCCAAAATCGATAAGGATGGTGGTACAAATGAGGAAAATTCAACCATCGCTTATACTGGTTTTAATTTCGTCTATGAGAAAAATAAAAAAATATTCATTTCAATGGTAATTTTGAATGAAAATGAAAAATACTTTGCGCGTTATTTTTTTTTCCTGGTATCTTGACACCAGAAAAAAATAGAAAATAAAATTACGGGACCAACAAATCGTGCACCTGGTGGTAAGCGATACACCTGTCAATAACTGTTCCACTGTCACCCTGAGAGATAAGTTGATAAGTCCCAAACCGGAACCCAGTAATGCTCACTTGACAACAGCTTGGCTGCAGAAATAGATAGGCAGCAGTTTCTTGGACGAACTCTTTTACAGGGAGCTCTACTGCTACTAAATATGTGTCAATTAAAAGATTATTTTTCAATCAAGTCTTGTCAGCTAGAGAAATCAAAAGTTCTCTTTCTTTCTATTTCAGACTGACATGTCAACCCGTAGCGTATCTATGCGGGCCCGGCGGGGCCACAAGGAGCGCTCGAAGAACTTCACCGAGCTCGAGAAGCGGACCGTCCTGGAGCTCATCGCGAGACACCGAGACGTGTTGAGACAGGGGCGGTCCAATAACGCAACAAATCGGAGTAAACAGGTAAGAAAACAACTTTTGACAACCCTAAACCTAATCCTTTCATCCTAAACAGGATGAAATAATAACTGCCTAACAATAATAAGTTGCTACATCTTAGGTCAAAAAACTCTTGTTTTTTTTACGAAAAATAGTTAATCTTGTTTAATATTTTTGGAATAATATTATACTTTAAATGTGCATTAAATATTTTATTAATATGTTTTACACTACACACATTTACAACTTCTATGCATATATTGCAAAGATTATGCAAGTATTTATTCGATATAAGAGTACACACTGCAATAACACGATAACATACACATAAATCTAAGGGTCGTATTCCAGAACTCTACTCAATGCTCAAGTCAGGACTTGAGTATGATTTAAAGCACTAGAAATCATACTCAAGTCCTTGCCATTAGGGTCGTATTTCCAGTGCTTGAAATCAATGCTCAAATCAAGTCCTGCTTTGAGCATTGAGTTGAGTTCTGGAATACGAACCTAAGTATTTACGTAGTTTATTTTATTTTTTAAAAAACCAGAGTTACAGCCTAGTCTTGGTTGTGACTTTAGCTGAATGGGATTGTTTTGCATACGCCACACATGTCAGTATTATGTAACTTGTTGTTTAAATGTTGTGACTTTTTTTAGTTATTTCTGTTTTTATTTAAATTACACTTTTTTTGTGCCTTTTTTATATTGTGGCGTTGCAATAAATGGTTTCTATTCTATTTTATCTAATAGGGAACACTCGTGATTGGTTGCGTACATTTGCCTCTCGAGCCCCTCTTTCTATATATCGGTAATGATTAACCGACAGCGACCTTCTTACGTGTACTGTATTCTAGGGATGACGGCCAAATGTAATAAACATAGTAGAAGTATAATAATGCTAGGAACTATGAATGAAAAATACCACCATACTGTGTAGGTAGTGTCTAAATGGGCGAACCGAACCCTATGCGGTGTGGTATGTTGTAACGGGTTGGTTTCTGCAAGTCGACAACGTCAAGGCGCTTATTTTGTGAATGGTGGGTGCTACTTGTGCCACAAGAGCTCTTCCAGGAATCTGCATCCTCCTTGGTTTGCCGAAGACTTCGGGCGCGATCTCGGCACTCCAAACTGAAAGCTATTATAAAACGTACAAATTTTATTTTAAGTAGTGGGTCTGACAGGTGCCCAGGTGGACACAGGTCATTGCTCAAAACGCTATTGTAGTCTTTCATTAGAATTGCCAGCATTTCAGAGAATCGGCTTCGAACGTACTGGTCGCGTGAGCACATGTTGTACTGGGATGCTCTTCGTCCGTCTTCGTCATTTTCGGGTGAGGAAACTCATTCGGTGTTGAGAGTTAGTAGATTGGCGGGGGATTATCATTGTGTTGACTGTCATAGAGTGTTATCTGTAAGCTCCTCACAATACTTTGTGAGAAATGTCTGTGTACGTAGCTACACGACTTGCATTGAACTGTAAAATAGCTGTTGAAATGCTACGCACCGTAACTAAATACAAAATATTCGACTGCTAATGCAGTAGACATGCAGTCTTGACTAATATCTACTTCGCAATCGATAGCGGACTGTTTTAGCAGATCTTGTGACTATACGCTAACATGATTTGGACGCCTTGCCTAAAGTATGAATTCTACTACTCGGTAGCAGGTGTTGAACGGAACATCTCTAACATTGCAAGATTTGCTGCACACCTACATAGTCTCTCCTTCTTCGAATGTCTTTCCTTCGGCCACTGCTACACAATCTGTTAAATATCCAAAGTTATTTACACGCCATAATCTTTAACCAGAAACGTTTAAATAACAAGTTTATCTTCCAATTGATTTACAGTAACGATCACTGGCGATAAAAGTTTAAATACTGATTATATGGCATTGTAAACGTTTTAAACAATGATCATTCAACGATTACTCATGTTTTATCTTTCTTACGTTCAGTTAAGTCCGAAATAAAACGATTATCTTAAATGATATCGTCGTTTATAACACTACATGTAACTTTCAATTAAAAAAAAATTAAATGCTAAATCGAAGTACGTGAATATATCACTATTGCACACACTTTCAAAGTCTTGCTCATTGACCAGTCGTCAGAAGTTTGCAGTCGGGGTGTCAGTAAGGCATAGAGTGCAGTAGCTTGGAAGTAAACAGTCCCCATATACTGCTAAGTTTTGTTCATAAGTTCCCTCCCTAACTTTTGGTTATACGAGAAGGATACTATTACTCACTCAGGTCAACCAGCTTGATTTTGATTGCCTCTTCCGAGTCGAGGCGCACAATTGCGATTCACAACTGGTCGATCGGAAACTTTTGACATTTCAAATCGGAACAATAGTTGATATAACTCACAAATTAGTAAGATATAGTCAAGTCTTCTCGCTCAGAAAATCTATCTGATTTCGAGACTCAGATGGGCGACCCGATTCCGGATTCATCCGGTTCTCAAAAGTTGTTCAGATAGATATCGGAGCTGTTGGCTCGCGTTGCACAACTAACAGTTGCCACAGATTGTGGAACAGTATTTTGCGCTCCAAAAGACAAATCGTCGACTGTGGTCTAATAGCTGCCAGTCTGAAATGCGCTGCTCCCGTCTCACGCCCGCGCGTAGTGTTGTCGTCCATATAAATATTTTTGTCGATTTACACCCGTCGCGCTCCCAACCCGACCCGTCCTCTGTGTCTTTCACGCTAAAAGTCTGTCATCAACCGGCCAGCCACGACATCGACAACATGTTTTTTTTTATAATACCCTGGTATTATAAAAAATCCTCCTCCTCACCTGTGATGAGATGAACAAGTCATGCGCCTAGTGGTAAGCGCCACGTCTGTTTATAACAATTGCAGTGTCAGAGCTTTAAATCGTAAAGATCCTTAAGAAGACTGCTTGTATATTTACTTGTACGGTACCGAATTTTCTAAAGATCTGCAGCTTGATTTTGATTGCGTCTCCCGATCGGAAACTGCATCTCTTCCGAGTCGAGGCACATAATTGACATTTCTAATCGTAACAATAGTTGATTTAACTCACAAAGTAGAAAGATATAGTAGGAATCAGGTTCATCTTCTCGCTCAGAAACCAATCTGATTTCGAGACTACCCGATGAGATGGATTCTAATTTGAATCAAAATCAGAACGCAGGCTTCGGATTTGCTATGGTGTGGTGTCACGGGTTAGTGTCCCCAACTCGAAGTCTGCGCACCTATTTTACGTGTGGTGGGTGCATGTTTCTGCTCGTGCCATCCAAGCAAAGCGTCGCAGAATCGTTCTGAGTTTGCTGAAGACTACGGGGAGAGACCTCAGCACTCTAAGATACTTCGCTCTATAGTTGGCCAAGACGAAGCATTGCAATAGGATATGCACGGCCGTTTGCGCCCTCCATAGACTCGCTCTGCAAAGAGGGCTGTCCGTGATTAGCGTCGAGAGTTATTGGAGTTTTATAGAAACAGGAAATTCTTCTTTTAGAGAATCTCTTAATCCGCAAAACGTCACTTTAATTATTAACTTTATATCTAAACAGTTAAGGCAACTTTTGATTGATTAGCGAAGTACGATTATGATGTTCTGATACCGCGATGTTTTCAAGAATAACCGTCGATAATTTTTCACTGTTTAACTTAATCGATTAATAACCGTTTATCTAAGCTGTTATAAAGATGGCTGTGTAAGGGCGCGAAAGTCCAGGAAGGTCACACATATTTACTCACTATATATTGTACCTATACCAATTTTTATACCAATGTCTTATGTTAAACAGGCTCGCCAAGGACTAAATTTCAAGTGATATGACATATGATACTTCCTTTAGAAATGAAAAATTGTATTAAATACAAGAAGCAAATTTATTTATAAATCTCTCACATAATAATTACAAAACATTTTTCGAAGTGCACTGCGGTGGTAAAGTAATTGCGGTATTATTTAATGTTTATTTTTCTGAAGTTATTCCGATCAATTGATATAATTGAAAAGAAGGCAGGAGTTTAATTCTGGTTCTGGTCTGTAAAATTTATTTATTTATTCATATTATAATAATAACGCACACATTCAACATAGTCCCGCACTAGGGAAACCTTGTGTCGCGGGTGCCATGGACACACACATGGACTCACAAATTACTCCCAAACTCACAAGATAAATAAATGTAATCGAACCTCTGTGTGGCAGTCCGGCATGGCAACCGTTTGGCCACAGAGGCAGTAATATATTGTACAACTTATATTAACATTTTTTTTATAATACTAAGTGACGAACAAGTCGTGTGGCTGGTACTAAGCTAGCTACACGCCTGTCCATAACAGTTGCAGTGTCACTCAGAGCTTTAAATCGCGAAGATCTGAAGGGCACTGCCACTACGCTTGCACCTGGGACAAGTCCACACAATTTCCATGTGCCTATAATTTCACCAGCACGCTTACCCGTCAAAACCGTAACGCAATAATGCTAACATTACTGCTTGGCGGCAGAAATAGGTAAGGTGCCAGTACTTCCCTGGAAGAGCTCTTTCATGAGCTCTACTGCTGCTACTCTATAAGTAGCACCTGCAGATGTCAGGAATTTAGATTCAAACCTACTGAACACGGCAGCATCATTCATCCAATTTAGAGATTCAAACAGGGCGAGAACCTCGTAAAATGGTGTCTTTTAACTGTTAATAAATTTTGAGTGCATGCTGTCAAAGCACAAGAAGCAAGCGCCTTTAGGCCCTGATATTACCATGGTCTGCCACCCAGGGGTTCAAAGTTCGATTGGAGAGAAATATTTGTATGGCTTACATTTCTCTTGTGAGTTTGAGTGTAATTTATGGTTGCACATGTGTGTGTGTCCATGGTATCCGCGACACAGGGTTTTCCTACTTCGGGGCTATGAGAGTGTGCGATATTATTATTGTTATTAATTTTGGTTCTGATCTGTAAAATTTTGAGTGCATGCTGCCTAGGCAGGTGATAGCTCCAAATTATAACGTTTTATAAAAAAACGAGCCGACCTCGAAACTTCGCAGAATTAC